AAAGGCTGAACTGGAAGTGGGTAAGTGCAGCGCCCGGACAGTCTGTGGCAGAACATAACAAAAACACTACTGGATGAGTGAGAAATCCGACCGGCTCCCTCTGCATTAAAGCCAGGTTAGATCAGGGGTCACAGCACAAATGATAAGAAGAGCCATTTTGCCTTTCAACAAAGTCAAACCACCTTAGGAGCCGCAACATTTAATGTCTCAGTATGTCTCAGTATGTGTTAATGTCCTAGTATAGGCTAAACAATATAAATGAGAGCTCAGATTTGCTCTGCTTTAAGCTTCAGCTACAGCCGCTTTCCTCCCATCTCCGCCAGAAAACCTTCCTTCAAGACTTGAAGAGTTTCTTGTAAAATGTCTCAGCATCCGGCTGTTTTACGAGGCTGAAGTCGCTTCTCATTCGCCAGCTTTTGTTCTAATTTTCCCATTCCATCTTAAATTCTGCCTCAGGCGCCGAATGGAACTGCTGCAAGATTTAAGGTGGAACGGGAAAATTAGAAAGGGAAGCGAGTTCATTTTCACAACTTTTTAGAGAAAGACAGTCTCTCAGCAGATTTAACCAACCGCGCTGCTTATAAATGCGAATAAGTCCTTCAAATGTTCGTCTTAATCTCTGTTTCTTCGTTCGCTACTGGCGAGGCCAGACCTCGGGGCTGTGTGACCTGCTGTCTGCTGTCTGTTCTCAGTCGTAGAGAAGCAGGGCTTTCGCGCTATGCTGCACACTTTGGAGCCGAGATTCAGCGTCCAGTCTCGAAAATAGACAGTAGGAAGATAGAAATCCTGTATAGAGAAAAAAAGATGCATCGAGATGCATCGATAATCGTTTTATAATCGCATCGCAGCCTCTGAATCGTAATCGAATCAAATCGTGAGGTGTCTAAAGATTCCCACCCCTTATATATACTAGAAAGAATGTTTTAATTAAGAACAGTTACAATCATACAAACAAGTGCATATGTGCAGTATGTACAGCTGCTGTATAGGATGTACAGAGTAAAAATATATGTTAATATAATTATATAAGTATAATTTACACTCATGGGCATAATGACAGGCTTGTTGTCCATTGTACAGTATTGACAATTACATGTTTTACATATAAATTACCTGTAAATGTGAAGTGCATTTCAGATCAGGACCCTTTCGTTTCCATCCAAAACTTAACAAAGAAACAATGCTAGTGCTGTAATACTTAGAGTTTAAATACAGGCATGTTTCTGTTGAATAAAACTAAACAAAAAAAATTACAGATATATGTTTTCAGTTCCCAGAAATCGTTAGGCCTTCTCTGAAGACCTAGAGGGTCACTAGAGATTTCATGATGCATTAATTGCTGCAAGGTTAGAGATTTAAACCCCTAGTCATGGAAATCCTACACAGGGGTTGCGTTACTACAAGCAGACATCAGCTATTGCACAGCTTTTGTGGCAGTACCTTTACCTCGAGCCCCACCCCCTCCTCTCACACAGCAGACCCAGCGGTAGATTTAGCGAACTCGACATGCGCTCTCCAGGGCCTCCTGTCATACTTTTCCTCTCTTTGTTCTCACCGAGTTCTGCCAGTTGACTTACACACCCCAGGCCCGTATTCCGCCTGAGCGGTTCTGGCAGTTTATAACTTTGAAAGATGAAAAGAGCAGCGCTTGACTCGGAGCCCAGAGGCACCTCACTACTGTCTCCCATCCCGAATCTCTCCTAGGGCGGGTCAGAATGTTAAGCTTGGCACGAAGAGAGCTCATTAACATCTGATGGTAAACTCAGTCTTGCAGTAATCGTAAGTAGATAATGGAGAACTGCACAGTATATCATTTGCATTGTTATCACAGAAGGCAGCAATGTGCAAATGAGTCTGTCAAATGTGTTGAGCTGCTAGTGAGCAATGAGGGGTGAAAAGTGAGGGCTGATACCCTGTGCTGTGAAAGAACAATTCACATCTCCACAAAGAAGATATTTCAAAATTATGACGTGTCAAATTTCTAATCCATGTCTGCATGGCCAAATAAACTCATCAATCCATTTATATTTTAAAGGAGTCACTGGGCGCATTTACATGCACTAATAATCCGACAACTGCAGAAAATCAGACTCCTATCAATGTGTTTACATGCACTTGAGTAATCAGATAATGGGGAAACTCCGGGTCTACATGAGTCAGGCAGTAATCGGATTTCTGTCTGTCTGTCTATCTATATCTTATTTATCTACATCTATCTATCTATCTATCTATCTATCCATCTATCCATCTATCTATCTATCTATCTATCTATCTATCTCACTTTCTTGACTTGTTTGCTCCAAAAACACAACACAAAAAAAGTCAGGCTTGCTTCCGATTTTATAATCACACACATTTCCATCATATATATTCCGTCAACATTATTAAAGAACATTACCTCTAAAACTGGTGGAACAGTTTATAGCTACTGTGAAAAAGTACATTTAGAACGAAACATTTATCAAAATTAGTAATATTTACAAAAAGAACTGCAGTGTGGTATTTTCCTCAAACCATTCAGGCAGGAACCTCAAAAAACCGTCTCCACTTCTCTCTAAAAGGTGGTTTCTTTACATTCTTGCACATTTTACTGTTTTTAAGTAAATGTTTGGAGTTGAGAGTCAGGTCATCCAGGAGCCTCCTCAGAAGACAAGCCTGCATAGCGTAGGACAAATCCACTCAAAAAAAAAAAAATCTTCACTGCGTTTCCAAACCCAAACGGGATTTCAGGCGTAAGCTCATCCTCTTTTTTTTTCAGGATCGAACTGTAGTTGCGATCCCAAAACTGAATTTGAGTGAAGGTTTTTAAGTAGCACTTGCTGCTGTTTTTATATACAAGTTTGTTTTCTTCCTGTTCTCCACAACATCAGCTTACACTGAGTTCTGAGGGTGCAGTGCATTGTGGGAAACCCCCCTTCTTACACACCCAGCTTGCCCTCCTTTCTCCTGGTCCTCACGCTAAACCTGCTGTTTTCTCCTCAGGTAAAGAGGAGGCACAGCCAGTGTTGACAAGCTGATCCAGAGAAAGCTGGAAACTAGGACAAGGACTTTCCACTTTTCTGTTACTCCTTGTTGCAAGGGGTGGGGGGGGCAGGGGGTTGCTATAGCTTGTGTGATATGTTAAAAATGTTAATAGCTTATGGATATTTTGCTTGTATATATATTTGGTTGCTGGTTGTAAAGTCTGATCTGAGCTGCATTGTAAGCCATTGTAAAATACTCGGTATAGGCACAGCTATGACCACCTCACAACAACTGGATTCTGGACTGGTATCGGTATCAAAAGTAAAAGCATTGTAAGTGCCTATTAGCCATTAATCTGAATGTTCTAAGATTTTCTAAGTTTAAAAAAAATTTAATAGTAAGTAAGAGTTTTTAATAGGCAGATTAGCTTCTCTCTAATGTTATACACTATATAGACAAAAGTATTGGGACACCTACACCTCACACCTACAGGAGCTTTTATGACTCCCATTCTAAATCCATAGGCATTAATATGGAGTTGGTCCCCCTTTGCAGCTCTAACAGCTTCCACTCTTCTGGGAAGCTTCTACAAGATAGTGGAGAGTGTCTGTGGGAATTTCTGCCCATTCATCCAGAAGAGCATTTGTGAGGTCAGACACTGATGTTGAACGAGAGAACCTGGCTCACAATCTCCATTCTAGTTCATCCCAAAGGTGTGTGATGGGGTTGAGGTCAGGGCTCTGTGAGGGCCAGTCAAGTTCTTCCACACCAAACTCACCCAGTCAGGCCTTTATGGAGCTGCTTTGGTCACTGGGGCTCAGTCATGCTGGAACAGGAAAGGTTCTTCCTCAAACTGTTCCCACAAAGTTGGAAGTGTACAATTGTCCAGAATGTCTTGGTGCTGAAGCATTAAGATTTCCCTTCACTGGAACTAAGGGTTCTAGACCAACCCCTGAAAAACAGCCCCATATCATCATCCCTCCTCCACCAAACTGTACAGCTGGCACAGTGCAGTCAGGCAGGTAACGTTCTCCTGGCATTCGCCAAACCCAGACTCGTCCATCAAACTGACAGATAGAAAAGTGTGATTCGTCACTCCACAGAATGCGTTTCCACTGCTCCACAGTCCAGTGGTGGCGCTTTACACCACTCCATTCGACACTTGGCATTGTGTATTTTGATCTTAGGCTTGTGTGCAGCTGCTCGTCGATGGAAACACATTTTGTGAAGCTCCTAACATGCAGTTCTTTTGCAGGAACTCTTTAGTGAGTGATGCAACAGAGGACAGGCACTACAGGCATTTTATGTGCTACGCACTGGGTGGCCCCACTATGTGAATTTGTGTGGTCTACCACTTTGTGGCTGAGCTGTTGTTGCTGCTAGGCGCTTCCATTTCACAATAATAGCGCTTACAGTTGACAGGGGCAGACCTAGCAGGACAGACATTTCACAGACTGACTTGTGGCAGAGGTGGCGTCCTATGACAGTGCCATGTTTAAAGTCACTGAGCTCTTCAGTGCGACCCTCTACTGCCAGTGTTTGTCTATGGAGACCGCAAGGCTATGTGCTTAATTAGGAGAGGTGTCCCAATAATTTGGTCTGTATAGTATATCCTCACAGCAATGTTCCAACATCCAGTGTAAAGCCCTCCCAGAAGAGTAGAGCCTGTTACTGCAGCAAAATGGGAAAAACTCACTAACACTCTTCATTTCAGAGGAAATTGGATTGGATGAGAAGTTGTCTGCAGACTTTTGGACATAGTGCTTTACGTCTATCGCACTTTTCCTTTTAGCAAAATAATGTTTTACCAGAAGTATTTCTACTTTTACTTGAGTACAGCAGTTTTGTTCTTATTCCATCACTGATCTCCGTTCTCGGGAACATTAGGCTGATGTGGCATTGTGAAACCTGCTAATGGTGTTTTTCTTCCATTGTTAGCTGCATTAGCACCGTCTGACACTTGTTGAAATGTGAAAAGTGGTGATGAGAAATAGCTGCCTTTGACTGACAGGTCCTCTCTATGTGTGTCTGTGTAGGATCACTACGACGGCAGCCTGCATGATGGACCTGAGGAGATACCCGCTGGATGAACAAAACTGCACCCTAGAAATTGAGAGCTGTGAGTGGCACAAAAGATTTCTCTTCTCTCTCTCTCTCTCTTTCTCTCACTCGCCATTTCATTTAGCAGAGATGATGGTGGATGTTCCGTCTTGCACCTGAAACCACATATCTGTCGACTACCGCTAAGATAACCTCAGGTCCGCTGCATCCGGCTCTTTCTTTTTTCGCTATTCTGTCCCAGTTAAATCGGTCTGGTGAGCTGATATCACTGGACCAATTTTTCTCCCTCAGCCAGCCGTTCGGGAATGAAGTGGAACCAGTTTTGTTATCGACTTCCTTCAGATCGCTTAAGACTACAAGATAAACTTGTGTTACACATGAGAGGAAGACAGGCAGGCTTTCGCTCCTGACTACTGTTATTGAAGAGCAGTCAATATTTCAAAAAGACAACAGACCTGTGTACAGTCCAGGGTTGGTACATTTGTAATAGAGTGATCTACCAGTTATTTACAAAAATAGTCAAGTAACCAGAGCCTTAATAAAGGCCAAATAATAAAAACTGACAATCTTGATTTATTTGGATTGCTCCCAGCAGATAGTTTTCGCAAAACATGGAAAAAATGTCTTGTGGCCACTGTTGACATTCCATCAGCATAATGTGTATAAGCAGTCACTCTCGGCTATGGCTTCCAAATCATGAAGGTCAGTTTGATCTGTACCAAATCGATATATTATCTGAATCTTGATTAAAGTGCTTTAAAAAATGTTCTACAATTCAACAGTTTCTATTATTTTTGCGTATTTATCACACTTAAATGTTTCAGATCATCAAAGTACTTGTAATATTAGACAGAGATAACCCAAGTAAACACAAAATGCTGTTTTTAAATGATGCCCCTTTAGCTTCTCAATCAACCAGTTGGGTTCAGTGTCACTAACCACACCCAGAAATGATGACTGATAGACCTGCTGAATCTAAACATCACTTAAATAGAATCTGTCTGGCAGTGTGAAGCAGCTAGAAGGCCTCAAAAAGCAGCACATGATGCCACGTTCTAAAGAGATTCAAATACCGTTCTGGAAAGGGTTACAAAACCATTGCTGAGGCTCTGGGACTCCAGAGAACCACAGTGAGAGCCATTGTCCACAAGCAGAGAAGACTTGGAACAGGGGTGAACTTTCCACTGTTGGATGGCCTGTTTCACCAAGAGCGCGTCGAAAACTCATCCAGGGGGTCACAAAAGATCACAGACGAACATCTAAAGAACCGCAGGCCTCACTTAACTCAGTTAAGGTCAATGTATGTGATTCCACAATGAAAAAGACACTGGCCAAAAATGGCACCCATGGGAGAGCTGCAAGGCACAAACCACTGCTGACCGAAAAGAACAAAAATGCTCATCTTGCATTTGCCAAAAAACATCTAGATGACCCCAAGACTTGGGATGGTATTCTGTGGACTGATAAGTCAAAGGTGGAACTTTTTGGAAGACATGGGTCGTGTTACATTTGGCATAAAGATACCATGCTTTCCACCATAAGAACATCATACCAACAGTGAAACATGGTGGTGGTAGTGTGATGGTTTAGGAGTTTTATTAAATTAAATTTAATAGATTTATTTGATATTTATTTAATATATTTATTTGAAAATTGTATGCAAGAAAATCATCTACAATAGGAAATCCAAAAAAAGTTGCTAAATTGACTCAACTAAACAACCATATATTGCCTATCCATGATTCCTGAATACTTTCTTTATTACACCAATACAGTACGTAATTGATTAAATTAAAAAAGGATAAGAAAGCAAAAATGCATATATATATATATACATAGATGTATCTGATAGCATGTTTCTTACTGTAATCCTGTACAGTCCCATCAAAAATCTTATTGCTGATTTCAGAAGGATGAAACATGTTTGGATTCTCGAAGCTGCTTTGCTTCTAACACAGTGAACCTCGCTGACAATATCTGCACTCAACTCGAGTGTGAGGAGCCTAAACAAAACCGCTGCTCTCGTATTACCTTAATGAGGCTGACCTTCATCTCCACAAAGCCGAAGGATAAAGGGAGCAGGCCGGAGTCCGCGGCATGGAGGGGAAAAGAAAGCCTAATCAAATCTAATTGGGACCCGATCGGGTCATCTGAACAGAGAGTGCACCAGGAGCGCATTGAGTTACAGCACGGCTGGCTGAGTGCTGCCTTTAGAGCCAGAGAAGAGAGGGAAGGGAGAGAGAGAGAGAGAGAGAGAGAGAGAGCCGAGGGAGATGGAGAAGGAAAGGCTGGAACACAGGGGCACACGCAACACTTGCTAATTCTGCTCCCGAGCACATCCTCATCCTAATTTGGCGACTGCCTCCTCGCTCGGCTCGACAGTGACGGCGCGAGAGGGAATATTTAATGCCTGGCGCTGATCAAAATTGAAAAACACATGAGGCCATTCCTGTTTGCTCTGTGTTCTGAGTCGCGAAGCTCGTGCAGCTGCAATGTGACGCTGACTCTCGGCATGTTTGAATCCGACACGTTGCCTTTCGGTCTCGCGCACGCACCAGCTGCTTTTCACTGGGTCCTTTTTATGGAGATTTCTCTCTCGTTCTCTTGTGCCTCTCTCACTGCTTTTCTTGGCACCTCACATGTTCTCCTGCCAGGCAATGCAACAGCTTTATTATTTCTGTTAGAATATATTTAAGGTTAGAAAAGCATCATTAACTTTAAAGTCCTTTATCAGGAACGTGGCAAATTCGAAAAGCATCGCAGCAGGTAGATTTCAATCTCGTGATAATTTGTCTACATAAGGGCAGAATCACATCATCTTAAGCTGTTCTTTTTGTTTCTGCACCTAAATCTCCTGCCAGGCAGTCTGACCACCTTATTAATTAGAAGACATTGTTCGAACATACATTAATTCATAAGGTTTAGGTCAGCGGTCGACAACATGCTGCTCCGGAGCTGCATGTGGCTCTTTTACTGCTCTGTTGTGGCTCCACAGCTGAATTAGATTTGCACTCAATAATCCGATTAGCTAATAATTAACTGATTATTTAAATGGTCATGTAAACAGCACACTCTGATTTCTAAGATCGGAGTAAGGTTTAGAAATACGATTAAGAAATCTGATAAAGAGGCTGGATTTTAACTAACTAGTAATCAGATTTCTCAGTGCTGTAAACTATCACTCTGACTTTTTTTCGGATTTCTCAGTCTGAGCATGTGCGAAAACGGACGTCGGTACCAGAAATAAGCAAGCAGAGCTGGAGTTTCCCCATTATCTGATTACTCAAGAGCATGTAAACTTGTTAATCGGATCACTGACAATCTGATTTTCTGCAGTTATCAGATTAAGTGCATGTAAATGCACTCACTCGCCATGTTTACATGTAGCCAAATAGTCCATTAATAATCTGACTAACAACTTAATCGGAATAGAATACGTCCATGTAAACACCTTATTCGTAATAGACTAGTCCGATTGAGGCCATTCAGAATACAGTCTCTATCCGATTGATCGAGGTGGGTAATCCTGTAAATAATCTGTTAAATAGAAGAATAATATCTGTGTAAACGTCTGTATCTGATTACGTTCCCTATCGGAAAGTTTAAGTCCGTTCTGATCATGTTCGTTGCATCATAGTGAAAGTTTATACCGTTCAACATGGCGGAGCAGAAACTGGTCTGCAGAGGAGACGAAGTTTATGCTCTGATCTTTAAAAGACGGCGGTGGGACGGACGTCCAGCTTATGTGTCTCAGAACACGACGTCTTCCTCTCGGCCTTCTTTAATAAGGACATGTAAAGGACGTTTTCTAGTACATTTTCGTAGTTTTGGATCTGATCACTTGTAGTGTGCATGAAAATGGAGATTATCATCAGAGTGTTGAGTAGAGTGAGAATATAAACACTTCAGTCTTAATCTACAATCAAAATGGGTTCAATCGGATTGGCAAAAATCCTTGCATGTAAACACAGCCAGTGTGAGATGAACCGAGTCTCAAAAGGGAAAACTTCCATAAAAGCATGAGGAAGAACCACTGAGAGGGACCAAGCCTCAAATGGAAAACTTCCTAGGAGTTATGGAAGAACCACTCAGAGGAACAAAGACTCAAAAGGAGAAATTCCCTAGGAAAATGGAGAACTTCCACTGAGCCCTCAGCCCTCTGTTTTGTAATACATTGTTCATGTCTGGGGGTAGGGTGTCCCCATTTTAGTTGAGATAGAGGGGTAGGGTGAAGTGTTGGGGCTACATGACCCTCCAAACAGAGGATTTTCAGAGACTCCAAACAGAGAGTTATGAGAAAAAAAGAAAAAACGATAAGATGGAGAACAAGAAACCAAAGAAACCCACAAATTTGAGAATTTTACGATAACCATCGTATTATGTTAGTTTAATGTTGTTTCAATGTATTTTGGTCCTTTTCTTCAAAAGAAACATAAAAATTGCTACTAGTATGCTAATTTCCCATTCCACCTTAAATAGTTCAGCAGTTCAGACGCCTGAATCGCCAGAATGTAACTGCTGCACCATTTAAGGTGGAATGGGAAAATTTGATGAGAAGCTGGTGAATAGCTGGATTCAGCTTCATATCACTGAAGAATTGGGGGGGTGATAATAAATAAATGTCCCTCTTTGAAGGCCTATGACTCCCTAAATGTAACTAAAGCCCAGAAGCGAGGTTGCTAATAGAACAAAGTAATATTCTTTTTTATTTGAGGGTCCCATTTCAACCACTACCCCTTGTAACTCAGTTCTAAGGGGCAAGGTAACTCTCAAACAAGGGGAAGGGGTGAAAATAAGAATTGGGACTGGGCCTTTCACTGTAGAATGAGCTACAGTAGCTGTTCTTTCTAGGTGACAGTACTACTACCATCTCAATGCACTTTAGATGACTTAAAGGTTATCCTAAAGCATCAAGCCGTTCTATGTATAATCTTTTCCTGATTGCCTGATTGTCTCTCTCTCTGTATGCAGCACCTGCTGGTTTCCTGTTACAGACTTACTGGAGGTCATGGTTCAGCTGTAATGCACACTCTTGCCTGCAAAAGTTAATCGTGTTGA